CACTGCTTGTTCCAAGACCAATCCACCGAATGATGTCCAAGTCATATGGGCTAGTTGCAGCTCGAGCACCATAGAAACAGGGAACTTCTACGAACGTAGTAAGATTGCCGGAGGTGGGATAAAGCACGCAGGTGTAAGTTGGGTAGTCCTAATAAGAGAGTGTTGAATGGCTAGTAAGAAATAAAGGATAAAAAAGACCTGAGGGAGGCGTTCTATCTCCGCCGAAATAGACTCCTTTACGTCTTGGGTGAACGAGGACACGGCAGTGGGTTCAAGAATGTCGTCCATTGAAGGTGAGAGAGAGCTGGTCACGGTCACGTCTGCGTTACTGCTGACTAACGCTTCGTTTACCTTGACCATTCCTTTCGAGAGCAAAGCAATAATACAACGGGCTTCTCTCTGGTTCTCTTCTTCTTCTGTGCTACAATTGGTACTGACTCCTCTCGATATTCGGGTGTAATGCAGTATCATCTCAAGACTGATCAATGAACGAAGGGTAAAAAATCGCAGGACGTCTTCCAGTTCAATAAACCGAATCTGTACATGGACGGGAATGTGAAGCGTGGAGAGGTATTTCAAGGTGGAGGAGGACAGGTATGTCGCGCTGCTCGATGACTGGTAAACGTTTGCTGACTTGCTCTGAGTAAATCGACCTACAAAAACTTTACCTGTGTATGTAAGGCGCATTGCGAAATTAACCAGGGACTTCCATTTCAGGCGGATGACTGAAATCATGAGCACTAATGAGTCCATGTCGCTTACAAGACTGTTGACCAAGCGAGCGATGTCGAGAGGCATTTAAACACGGGTTGTGGGACAAAAGAAAAAGCTATCCGACCAGCACCGTCCGGAGCCGGCCCGACAGGTCGCCCGTTCGAATCTCCTTAGAAAATGTATTTTAGACTTGTTAAATAAATCTTGACGCGTCCGGGCACGACCACGTGTGATGATCAGTGCGATCACTGTTTACTTTTCTCACGGGGACCTTACGCGCCATTCACGATGACCGACCGCGCCTCCCGAAACGCGCCTCTGCACCTCTTGCAAAGCTCGCAAGCCACTGTCAACACTTAACTTCGCCTTCTATCGCGGGGAGTTCCGGAAGACCTGTCAGAAATGCATAGACTCTCGTCACAAGAAGTCTGGCAAAGGCAATACAAGTGACGCCGATAGGTCCGCGCCGAGCTCGACCGAGGATGACATGGATATCACTGGCTTATCGATTACACGTGTGCAAGACTTCATGGCAGTCATCGGCATGGACGAGAACGCGCGTTCTTTCAGCGCGCTTCTTGACTTGACCGATATTCCGTCAGAGACGGTTCAAGAAGCAGGTTCCGATGAGCAGAAGAAGGCGATCCTCCTTGGGAAATACATTGCTGATGAGATATATGGGTGTATCGATTACCAATTCAAGTGAGTTTCCCATTCCTCTCTATTTATGTAGTCACTCAGCATCCAACAGCTATCAAAGTAAGCACGAGTGGAAGAATCATAACGTGGTCACGATCAACTACCACTGCGCGCAAATCAGATACTCGTCAGCTGAAGCCTGAGAAAGTCGAAGATGGAGCAAAGCAACGTGTTCGCAGACAGCGGCACTCCTTCCCGTGTCACGGCTGGCTTTCGATCCGAATCGACACAGACGCGATGCTTGGGCTTGTTCGGCTTACACACGACGTGGACCATGTGCCCTACCCAGCAAAGCAAATACCCGAAGATGTAAAGCAATTCATTCAAAAGCCCGAGAACAAGAATTTAACGACGGCAGAGGTAAGGAATCAGTACCGGGTTGTTTGCCATTGCCGATACTTACTTGCCCTCTTAGCTTTGGCTGGAGATTTTGAATCTGCCAGCCTATCGCGATGCGCGCAACGTCAACTTCTCCCGGCGTGCCGTGTATAAGCTCTGGGCTCAACGAGACGCGGCAAAATGGAAGCGTGACCCGGACGAGCTCAAATCGGCCAAGATGCTGATTGCAGAAGCAGCGCAAAATCAGTGCCCGCCTCAACCTGGCATTCAACGGCCGCCACTTTTCCGTGCTGAGTCTGTTGATTTGCCAGATGTCACGGGCTTCAGCGCGATCGCTTTCGTGCTGCCCGAGATTTTGTGGCGATGGGGAGGGAGAATCCGCGAGATTGCCATTGACTCGGCTTGTAAGCAAGCCTATCTCTGCCTTTCACGGCTCACATCGTTTAGTTGAAACGAACAAGAGTCAATATGAGATTTTCAGCGTGATCGGGGAACTCGCCGGATCGGGTTGCCCGCTGGGGTATCTTCTCATCAAATCAAGCGCAGACGCGGAGCAACACGGCAAGCAGAAATATATAGAACGACTATTTCAGCACCTCCGGACAAAGTGGGACATCAACCCTGCAGTAACCCTGACGGACAAGGACTGGTCGGAAATCAATGCCTGCCTTTCGCAGTTTCCCCAGGCCAAGCATCAACTGTGCTACTGGCATGCTTTGCGTGCGGTCAAGCAGCGTCTCGCGGTCCTGAAGCGTCGACCCGGTCATTACGACTGGTCCGAGGCTTGCCGCGAGAACCGCTATATTGATCCTTCATGGCGGCCTGTCGAGCAAGCGACAGACACGGTGCCTGTGAGTTGTTCCATTGCAACCTTGTCAGTATACTCACGGATTCAGCCCGTCAATGTGCCGACCAGCGCCCTTCCACTCATCACCATAAAATTTGCGGGCAAAGTTGTCACACTGCCGGATCGCAAGTACACTGGCCCCAAAATCCGCATCAACAATAAATTGCAAACTATCGAGGTCGTTGGAGTTGAGGGCCCCAATGCAGCAAAGCCTACTGCCCAGGCAACCGAGAACACCGGACCCGACGACGATCTCGACGAGCTGCCAGCTGACATCGAGGAATTGATCCGTACGGAAGAGCCCGAGAGGACGGATGGACCAGACTGGATGTTCGAGGCCGACGAGAAGTCGACGCGAGACGCATCCTATGTCTTCTGTCCAGCAGTTCACCGTGCCGGGGTCCTCAAGCTATTTGGGAAACATTTCGTTCAGCATCCCTTCTTCCCTGATCGCAACGGTCAATTCCTGACGACAGATCAGCTCCGAGCTCACGCAGTACACGAAATGTATCAGTACTGCAAGCAACGGGATCTGCGCGAGGTCTGGGGTTATCTCTGGGCCTGTTGGTACAGCCCTCGCAAATGGAAGCTGTGGGCGCGCTCATCAACTGCAGCCATTCTCGCTCGCTTACGCACAACGATGAACGTCGAAAACCATTGGAAACAGGTCAAGCACATCTGGCTTCATTTCCTGGTTCATCCGCGTCTCGACCAGCTCATTTATATCTTGCTGAACAAGGTTGTCCCGACTTATACTGTCCGCGCTAATCAACTTGACGGCGATTTTCTTATCGGCGCGGCGCGGGCATTGACGCCATGGCAGATGGCATTCAGGCGGAGGTGGGAACAGCTGTCGAAGAAAAGTGTGGGTACTACGGCTTGGACCACCGATGTCAAGACATGGACTTGCAGCTGTCCGGCACAGAAATACGACGCTCACGCACTCTGTAAACATCTTGTCAAGGCAGTCCCTCGGCCATCGACTGACTTCTGGGCAGAAGTCCGGCGCCGTCGTGTTATGCCCATCTATCATCACCCGGATCTGCATCCGCTAAATGAAGAACCCGACGATTATCTTGAGACTGGCAACATCACTGATGGCGATGACGTGGTATGGTCTGGCGACAAGTCGATTCTTGCGAATGGCGGCTGGCGGAAGCTGTCGGCAATGGCCGTGACTCTCGGCAAACGACCGCGGCCAGTGATGCCATCTGATTCAGACTCGGAAGACGACGCACGGGTTGCTCAAGTTCTACGTCTCGATGGATCGTCTGATGCCACATCTGACACCTCGGTTGACGACACATCAAGTTCCGATGCCTCGGACGCGCCAGCAGCAACTTTCGACAAGCTTTGATCTTGCTGATGAAGACTTGGAGGAGGAGAAGCTAGAGCGTAGAGAATGGGCGCGCGACTTGGCAAAGGATCTACACACTTTTGCGGACATGCTTGAGAGTCAAGCGGACCTCAAGGCGGACTTCTGGTTAAAACAGATGGCTGGGCGGCGCATCGGCGCAGATATTTCACAGGCTGTCAACGACATCAAACGGTACAAAACACCCAAACGAAAGCGGGACACAACGATGGCCATTGGGAGGCCCCAGGAAGAGCAGAGACGGCGTGATAATACCCAAGGATATAAGTTTGCGTCGCGTAATAGGTCAATGCAAATTGATTAAAATATTATACATTTTCTAAGGAGATTCGAACGGGCGACCTGTCGGGCCGGCTCCGGACGGTGCTGGTCGGATAGCTTTTTCTTGGGACAAAATTCACATCTCATGTCCAATCCAGGTACATCCACTTTATTTTCGTTGTTATACATTTACTGACCCTCTTCAGCCCTCGAAAACGCGTTGCAAAACCACACAATTCCCCAAATTATTGGTATACTTGAAGCCATACAACCAGCACCAAAAAACACGCGTCGCAAACGGGAGCAACTGCTCCGATTTGCTTCAAATCTTCCAGCGGAGCAAATTCACCAAATCATAGAGTCAGCGTCGACCTGTCTAGGTAGCAAGCGAGGCCCGAAAAACGATCTATCTTCTCGACCACGTAAACGACGAAAAAGTTGTTGAAATTGTCGAACCTACTCGAAACGTACATGAAGGGGACCTTCAAGCCTTGATTGAGGGACCTTTTCTTCAGTCAGTGGACGACAGTGTCTTGCATGATTGCATTGCACGGTAGGTATTTCTCGTTCATCGGCAAGTCACTGAGAATCTACTTAAGGGCCATTGAGCGAACTGGGAATGCGGCACTGAAGAAGGGGGTCTGTCTTGTTTGTGCTCGATGATTATTTCTTCGGGAGTTGGTCGTGTGCGAACCAGACGACATTCCCAACCCCAGCTTTTTGGCGCCAACACATCCACATCGTGCCCATATTCTTTATAAAGGCATGCTCCTTCACCAACCAGCCCTTTGTCAAGCTCCTCCTCATTTCTTATGTCTCAAATGTCGCGCCAAACTGGTTCTTCGATTGCGCCCTCCATTGTCCCTCGCGAATAACATGTGGATTGGCCAAGTTCCGTCTGTGTTGTCTGTTCTCAACCTGCCTGAACTACTGCTTGTTGGGCTGTATTTCCCAGTGGCTTTCGTTGTCAAGCTTTTCCCAAAGAAGGCCGGCAGCGACTCCTGGGACATCGACACCATGAAAACTGGATTACGCGGCAACGTCTCGACCTATCGACTGAATCCCAGCCTTATCGAGGAAATGGTTACCGGTAACATAATGCCTCGTCCTATCGGTATTTTGGCTGCAACGATTTCTGTTACGTTCGTCGGGGCAAAAAATGTTCCTTTGTTTGTTCTTCCGAAGATGTTCGAGGTCCAACGAAGAAGGGTTCATGACGCCTTGGTGTGGCTTCAGGCCAACAACCCATTATATGCCAACATCGAAATTTCTTTGGAACGCCTTTCAGAACTCCCTGAACAAGACGTACCAGAGGAACTTACAACAACGGCGCGATATACAGAGGACGAATCGGTTATCGCTCGTGAACATGGTGGTTATGTACCATCCAATGTGGATGATGGTGGAGATGCTCAGGTCATTGAAGCGGAAGAACGCGACTTTGGCCAGCGACATGGTAAGTCATCCTAGTGAAGTATCTGTCATTTCACTCTCTCTTTCTTCAGATTTGTTACCGGTGGATAGTTTAGACAATGAAAATACCAATAAAGATGAAAACTATGGTGAGCAAACTTCAATAATCTGACTTCCTTCATATTGACACAACGACTAGAATGCGATGTTATTCCTCTCCAACCTCATGGAGCTGTCGATATATCCGCTGATTCCATCAACAGTGAAGAGTTATTCTGTGCAGCAGTGAACAACCTAGCTCCGGAAGAGATTCGCAAGTACGCGGTCCGTCCCGGGTAATAATTTTGTGAATGAATATCCACGAGAAGTAAATGGTCAGCGAACAACGGGTGGACCATCAGACGCAAAATCATCTCCTCGGCACATTTCCTCTCCTCTTTCCATATGGCCTTGGCGGGATTGAGGTCGATCGTCAGGACAAAGTGTCGTATGAAGAACATGTTCGATGGGCACTGCAGTATGACGATGGGCGTTTTCGAAAGGACTTGTATTTCATGTTCCAAGCCTTCGGGGTTCAAGTGAAGCGAGAGGTCTGTCGCTCAGCATGCATACAGGTGGATTTCAAGACTTTTTTTCAGAACCAAGATGCCTTCCAAAGACTGACGGCACAAGACTTTATAAAAGCGAGCAAGGAAGAAGAGCGCAAACAAGGAATCAGTAACCCAACCATATTGGCCTTTCGCAAACACATTACAGCAGTTCGTGCGCGGGTTATGGGTACCGATGAGAGCCGAATTAGCATTCGCGCCCAAGTCTGGGGAATGTCTTTGCGGTTTAATCCTCCAACAATCTGGGCAACCTTCAATCTTTCCGACACTGCCGATCCCATTGCGCAAGTCCTGGCTGGGGTAGAAATCGATCTTGACAATTTCATGGCGACAGCAGGCCCAGACAGCGACTTTCGTCTCAAAACTATTGCGGGTGATTCCTTCGCTTCCGCTGAATTTTTTCACTTGTTTATTCAAGTGATTTTAGAAGAGGTTTTTGGCATCAAAGTGAATACACGCGGTGGGATTGAACGCCGTTGCGGCATAGTAGGCTATGTGAACGGTTACATCGGAACAGTGGAAGCCCAAGCACGTGGATCTCTGCATTTTCATGTCCTTTTCTGGCTCCGTGGTGCACCAACGGCCCAAATGATGAAGGAGGCTTTGTTATCGGAACAATTTCGAGCAAAAATGCGCGCGTTCATATCGAGGAACATGCGGGCACATATCGCTGGAACCACGGGAGACACGTTGATGAAGCTGCCAGCCAAGAAAAATATCGCATTTTCTCGCCCCGAAGATCCACGAAAGCCAAATTACCCGGCTCGGGCTGCTGCTGCTGAAGCCCGTCTTGCACGTGTGGTGCAAATTCATGATTGCAAGCCGGAAACTTGTCTCAAAGTGAAGAATGGTCGTTTTGTGTGCAAACGAAGAGCACCATGGCGTACCGCCGAAGACGACTGGGTCACAGAGACAGGAGACTGGGGGCCAAAGCGATTGTATCGCTTCATCAACGCTTGGAATCCAACACTGCTGCAAATCACGAGGTCCAACCACGACATGAAGCTGATCACCAATGGAGGTGATACCAAAGATATCACATTCTACATCACATTGTACATCGCAAAGCGCCAAATCCAAGCAGCCAACGCTTCAGCGTTGATGGCCAAAGCTATCCAATTCCAGGAAAAACTCAGCGCAAGACAAACGTGCAACCTGGACAAGAACAAACGTCTGGTTCAAGCGTGTGCGAATGTACTCAACCGCCAACAAGAATTTAGCGGACCCGAAGTTGCAGGGTACTTGATGGGCTGGGGAGATCGGTACATTTCTCACACCTTTATTCGAATTTATTGGGACCGCATGACAGCTCAACTGCGTCGGGTATTTCCAAATCTTATGGTTGTTTCGTAGGTTTTGTCATTGACCCGCAAACTTAGCACTGACATTTCACAGCGAAAGCAATGAGTCACTCTCCACAATGACTGCAGAGATGACAGAAGACGAACCTGTATGTTGTATGTTATTTTGAAGAATAAGTCTGACCCAGTGAACAGAACGAAAGATCTACATTGACACGCAATGCAGATGGAACATTCATTTTGAAGGATCAACTCAAAGAGTACACGGACCGTGGCGACCAGTTGGAAAACATGAATCTCTACGACTATTTCACTCTCACATACGATGGCAAGTTACTTAACACTCCACAATCGAGGACAGCAGAAGCCGAAACAGAAGTAGAGGCAGAAGCCGAAGCCGGGCCGGGCCGGGCCGAAGCCGGCAAGCCGGCCGGCCGGCCGGCCGGCCGGCCGAAGCGGCCGAGCGGCCGGGGGGCCGAGCCGAAGCCACAGACACCAACGCTCCACCAGAACCTGCGCCTATTCCAACGACGCAGCAAGAAGATGCCATGGATATTGACGATGTTCCAATGGCAACGAAACCGTTACCCATCCGGAACAGGGGCGGGAGACCTCCTAGCGTTCGCGTACCCTACCGTGAAGGAGCGAAGCGAAAAGGTCATTGTCGCATCTTCCGAGCAAAAAACCAGGAAGTCAATTTGCATTTTATCGGACAATGGTTTGCACGGAAAACTGACGGGTTGGCTGGTGAGTATTACAGTGCACAAATGCTGATGCTTTTGAAACCGTGGCGTTCTATGCGAGACTTGCCAGACGGAGAACCTACTTTTACCGCTGCGTTTGAAAAGTTTACACTCAGCGCGACAAAGGAGCAACACCAGATCCTGATGAATATCCAGTATTTTTACGAATGCATAGATCACGCTACTCGTCGCCAGAAGGATCTGTCAGAGTCTGCGAAGGGTTCAAGGACGTCAGATCACGTCATCCAGTCAGCAAATACTCAGGGAGCTGCTTCAACGGTTTCCATGGCGGAAGAACCAACCGAGGCTGAGATAGAACGTGCTCGGCAGGCACGTCAAGGACCCCGAGAGCGTTTATATGGCCAGCAAGCCCTCGATATCGCCATGCGAGAAGGAATATTCTCTGAGGAGTATACACGAGTTGCTCCTCGACCTCCCGCTCGTCAAGCAACACTAGCAGATATGTCAACATACGCAGAATGGGGCAAAAAAGTAGCTGCATATATCAAGAGTGACGCATTCACGGAACAGGCGCCGTTGACTATGGGCGACACGAACGTCATGCAGCTTTCCGACTCTATGGATACTGACCCTCCAGTTTCTAGTGATCAAGGACGCAACTTGGGCACAATCACTGACATAACTCCTTCTTCCTCGGAGACAACTGGGCCTGCGTTAAACCAAGAGCAACGACGAGCTCACAACATTGTCACGGACCACCTTCGCGAGACTTTGGCTGGCGGAAATCCCAAACAGTTGCTAATGATCATCCGCGGAGAAGGAGGGACCGGAAAAACAGTTGTTCTTGGTGCGATTGCTAAAACCTTTGACCAACTTCGTGCTCGGGAAATGCTAGCACTAACAGGTACCACAGGAGTTGCGGCAAGCATGTTTGGGGGACAAACCATTCACAGCTGGGCTGGTATTGGTTTCGGCGACACGAAACCTCGAGGGTCGGATTTGACGCAAGCAAAGCGCAAAAGAAACATCGGTCCGATCAAGTATCTAGTCATTGATGAATTTTCAATGCTCACCAAGAAAATCCTAGTCCTTCTCTCACAAATAATGGGCGTTATTAAGCAAGATAGCAAAGAAGCACTCCCATCGGACGCGTTTGGCCTCGTCAATGTGATATTGGTCGGAGATCTTCACCAATTCCCTCCAGTTGGCAGTATTCAACAAGCTTTATTTTACGGCGACTCACAAGTATGCAGCGAAGGGTTAATACTCTACCGACAGTTTACAACCGTGGTCACTTTGACTGAACAGCGGCGAATCACAGATCCTAGCTGGATGGCGCTGCTCAAGCGGCTTCGCATCGGCGCATGCACTGCCGAAGATGTGGACTTGTTGGAAACTCTGCGTGTCGATAACCCGAAGAGCACTCCAGTGGACTGGAAATCTCTCCCCTGGGACAAGGCATATCTGGTTACTCCACGTCACAGTGCAAGGACGCTGTGGAACACTCAATCACTGAGAAAACATACAGCGCGAACAGGGCACCGGGTATATCGCTCACCAAGCGAGGATCGAGCAAACAAAGGTCAAGGCCAGTTGAACGCCTGGCAAAGGCTAGCCGTGGCCAGTACCAGTACCAAGAAAGCCAATCGCTTGTCGGACCACCTTCAAATTGCAGTTGGTATGGAAGCAATGGTACTGTGGAATATCTCTACTGAAGCAGAGCTAGCAAACGGCACCGGAGGGATCGTAAAGGACATCGTCCTCGACTATCGAGAGGTTCTGCCGCTCCAGGAAGATCCAATCACAGGTGATACCATCTTGAAATACCCACCAGCGGTCGTTTTATTCAAGCCTCATCACAGTACTTTCCCTGCCTTCGATGGCCTTGAAGAAGGTGTGATACCCATTGTACCATCGGTGGCGAAATTCGAGGTGCACACTCCGCAAGAACAGAGTACAATCACACGACGGCAATACGCCATGACACCAGGCTACTCCTTTACTGACTATAAAGCCCAAGGTCAAACTATAGAATACGTCGTCATTGATTTGGCGCGACCACCTTCAGGAAAATTAACGGCCTTCAACGCTTATGTCGCTCTTTCAAGAAGCCATGGTCGAGACAACATCCGAATTTTGAGAGAGTTTGATGTCAAATTATTCACAGTTCACCCTTCGCTGCAGCTTCGTGACGAGGACGCAAGATTAGATGCCTGCACAATTACAACACAACTTCGGTATCAGAGATTGTAGACTTGTAGAATATTTTAGATCAAGCACGTGCCAATGACTCCTTTCTCTCTTGCATGAACAGTCGCTTCCCTACTTCTTCACTCAGGCTGGAAACAAACAACTTTGTCGTTAGCTGCATCGCTAGTACCAGCTCGGAGAGGAATAATGGGAGAAATAGAGAACCACACGCGGCAGGGCGGTGCGTCCGCAACAATCTATCTCTTACTGTTTTCTCAAAGCCAAGACAACGCAGTAGATGCACGTCCCATGGTCCAATCCAAGCAGCTGGCGAGTCCGAGGGGCCCACATCCAGCACATCCCCACACGCTTGGCAATATCAGTGGGCGCAACTTGAATACAACCTGGGAAATCTCCCCAGAGGCCAATGGATTCTTCTCGAGGACCACAAGTTTTTTTTGGCCGAATCAGATGAAGGGATCCTGCAAAGATTCAAGGTGTCTGCTTATTGTGCCATCGAAGACTGTGTCACTCGAATTGGTTCATGCCCACCGCCAACATTGGTGAATCATTGGCAACAACTGAACTCCCCCTTACTGGGCAACATTGTAGCACCCCGACAAGGTATGGAATTGTCACCAGGTACACGTGTCGGCTTCACCTTCAACTTGCCATTTCCCACAAACGGTGGCTACATCGTCGACTTTCCGGATGGCATGACCACACGCGTGCGGATTCTCACTCAAGGGAGAATCATTGACAGCAAATCGACCGCTCTAGTGCAAGAACTCCTCGAACCATGGAATCCAACCGATGTAATTTGTGTGTCGCAAAACTACATCAGACGGCATTTCTTTGCGCACGATTTGCAACCCATTGAAGGAGAAAGGGTAGAGGTTAGAGGAATGGGGATAGCATACGTCGAGGGCATCCAAAGTGGGATGGAAAGGGTAACAGTCCGAATGCAAAAGCAGGACGACGATCGCTTGGACGTGGACATATCATCCCTTCGTCGGGCACTTCATACTTGGGGAT